AAAAAAAAAAAAAAAAAAAAAAAAAAAAAAAAAAAAAAAAAAAAATTATAATATCGCTAACAGTTAATTAAAAATTGTGTTTATTATTGTTACTGGTTAGCCATTGTGAAGTTCTAACTACTGAAAATTTTATCATTTAATCATAATCATCAATTTTATTGCAGAAATAAAAGAGAAACGCAATAAATTTAGAGTATAAAACATTTTAATTTTTTACATAAAAATTTATAAAAACGCTTAAACTAAGTTATTATGTTCAAAAGTATACTTATACTTAAATAATAATTCTTAATTCCTCAACATCGGTTTTGATACCAGCATGACATGTAAGGTTGCTGTACGATAAATAAAAAGAGAAAAACGAAATTAATGATCATTATAATGTACAATAAATTACTTCCCAGCCTATATTTTTATAACTATTCTAAATTTCATTAATATTAATCTATATCACCAGACAGAAAGACTTGCTTATCATCAATGCCTACAATAAATGCTTATTAAAAATTTGTAACGACCATTGGCTTCTCTGACTCATCAATTCATAGTTTATATAAATACAGCATTGAAGAAGCTGTTAATACAAGACAGGAATATACTTAAACTACATCGTTCAAATGAAAAAAATCATAGAGGGCAGGTAGTTCATCCGGCTGGAACAGTATGCTCAGAATCTTTTTTTGAACTTCCTTCCTTTTTCTCTCTGGCATCCTCATCAACAATTCTCTCATTCTTATTTCGAACTCTTCAATAGTAAGATTACTTGTCTCTTCCTCGCTGTTGGCGAAATATTGCAGTAAATCCACAATACCTGGAACCTCCACTTTTCGTCCTAAACACATAAAAAACCCTCGAGTTTATTTAAATGAAAAAGAAATTAAACTTAATAATTATAACATGAAAAGTAGTGATGGATAAAACGATGTAGTTGTCTAGAATCTAACCTCTAAACAATTCACTGCAACGATCGAGAAAAATCGTCTCTTCATCGGTATTCAAGCCAGAAAAGCAAGCATGAGCCAACAGATGCGATTTCATCGCCCGCACTGATGCACCACAATGCTTGCAATCGTAGCTCTGCAACAAAAAGTTGACGTAGACGTTTGGACAATTGCTTTTCTGTCAAACAGTTTAGTAATTTTTCTCCCGCGTACTTACATCACGTTCGGTGTTGATTTCAATTATAACACTACAAGAACCCATTTTTCAAGGTTTTATCAGTGCAATTACAACGACTATTTGGCAAATAATTGACACAGAATTACCTACTTAATTAACAGAAAATACAAAAAAAAACAAAATACGTCTAACCGCGATGTTTGTGTACATGTCATGTATATATGTAAAAACCTAACTTTCCCTGATATTCTACACCACGTGTGCCAGCAGCAGACGACGGTCACCACGGTCCTCTGCTGAATTTGTTTATCAACTTAAACTTATACTGTAAATTAGTTTTTTCCGATTAACTAATTCGTGCAGCTCTATTATTTGTTTTTTATGTTTGTCATAGTGTAAAAGGTTTTGTGACTTCAAATAATAAACTATGAATCAAACACGTCAGTTGTTGGGACTTCCAAAATTTTTTAGGCGATTGTGTAAAAATCATAACTTATACGATTGTGCAAAAAGGCACTTGTTAACAAATGAAAAGCCCGCAGTTATTTTAGGCATTGAAACAAGCTGTGATGAGACTGGCTTTGCAATCGTCGACACCTCTGGCAAGATTTTGGGTGAAGCTCTTAATTCTCAACTTGTTCATCACTTGCAGTAATTTTCTATTTTCATTTTATTATTGTTTGGATCACATTCGTTGATTAACTTTTTTTTTTAACAACACCATAGTTTGGGAGGAATTAATCCACCAGTTGCTAGAGATTTACATGTAAGAAACATAGATAATATTTATCAAGAGTGTTTAAAATCTGCAAACATGACAATGAATAATATTGACGCAGTAGCAGTGACGATACATCCTGGATTAGTAATGCCATTATGTGTCGGACGGGATTTTGCTCTGAAATTGTCACGAGAGTTTGACAAACCTCTGATTCCCATTCATCACATGAAGGCACATGCTCTGACAGCAAGAATTAGTGAAAAAGTATATTTATTTAGATGATAATATCGTTAATTATGCATCATTGATTTGATTTGATAAACATTTTATATGATGTATACAGGTTGATTTTCCGTTTCTTGTACTTTTGATATCAGGTGGTCATTGCATACTTGCTCTGGTTCAATCAATAGAGGATTTTAAAATCCTTGGTTATACAATAGACGACGCACCTGGAGAAGCTCTAGACAAGGTAAGTTTTACAATAAATTTTGAAGATGTAAAAATACAGTTTTTTAATTGGAAATTATGTTAAATTCGTTTTAGGTTTCTAGACGATTAAAAATGGAAAAGATTCCAGAGTATGCAAAAGTCAGCGGAGGTCGAGCTATTGAAATGGCAGCCATGAAAGCTGATAAACCTGAAAATTTCGAGTTTCCTACTTTAATGTCACATTATAGGAACTGTAAATTTAGTTTTTCAGGTGTAAAAAACAAAGCCAGGATGCATATTATCAGTGAAGAGAAAAAACATCATATTCAGGGAGATGAAATACTTCCCAGTATAAATAATATTTGTGCTGGATTTTTACTAACAGTTACAAAACACTTGTGCTTAAGAACCGAAAGAGCAATGGAATTTTTACGTAAACAAGAGTTACTCCCAGAAAATAATAAAACTTTGGTAAATGTCAATATTACATATAAAAGGCTTAAACTGTATTTTATCTAATTGTCTTGACTAAAAACTACATAAATGTTTTAGGTTGTAAGTGGTGGAGTAGCATCAAACAATTTCATCGCGAAAGCTCTTGAAAAAATCTGTTCGCATCATGATTACAGATTGGTCAGACCCCCACCTAAACTCTGTAGCGACAATGGAATCATGATTGCGTGGAATGGAGTCGAAAAGTATAAAATTAATAGCGGTGTTTTAAGAGATAGAAGTGAAATAGACAAAATCGATGTTACACCAAAAATGCCTATTGGTGAAGATTGGTCAGAAAGGGTAACAAAAGAAGGTATAAAAAGAAAATGGGTTAAATTAAAGTTTCATGATCTAGTAGAAAGTTAATGAGGTTGATAATTATTGACTCATTTTTTGTACGTACTTCTTGTAAAAATGTATATTTAAAATGTTTGCGTGATCAATAAATATTTTATACAAAATAACATCTTTATTTACACAAGTAGTGGAGCTGCTCGTTCCATTTCTTTTTTTAACTTCCTAATCAACTTATACTCTGGCATTTCATCTTGGATTTTTTGCTCCTCTATATCCTGTATTTTATCTAGATTTTTTCTAATGATCTGTTTTAAATTTGTTATCTTATCTTCATCTTTGTTTTTCAAAGATATCGTTATAATATCCTCAAATTCTAAAACTTTTTCAGGAACCATCTCATCAGAAAAGTTAGAGAACTGAATGCTTTTTAAGTTTTCAAAGTGTTTCATAAATCTTTGCAAAATCGCATCTGACCGTTCAGTATCCATTTTGTTTATCACTAGTATGGCAGGCATATCTAGCAACTCTGGTTTATAAAGTTCTATTTCCTTATTCAACAACAATAGTGTTTCCAAGCAATTTCTTTTTTTATACTTGTACGACAACTGAAATCCTTGAATGTCTATGACAAATAATAACATTTTTGTTCTTTCCAAGTGCTTTAAAAAATCGTGGCCCATTCCGACATTGACATGAGCTCCCTCAATTAATCCTGGCAAATCTGCTATTGTGATTTCTCTCAAATCAGGATAAATAATTTTACCTAAATTTGGTTTTATAGTTGTAACTGAAAATGGTAAATTAGCACTTGTATAACTTTCAACAGTTAATAACTAGCTATTTAAAAAATATCAAAAAATTTCCCTCACATGGATAGTCTGCTACTTTAGGCTTAGCATTGGATATGGTCCTTATGAGAGTACTTTTTCCAGCATTTGGAAACCCAACTAAAGCCACATCGGATATCAATTTCAAATCTAAAATGATTCCATGGTTTTCCCCTCTTTGTCCACTGTAGTCTGTTTCTGTACAGCCACCAGCTCCACCCATAGCTACCATCAACTTTTTATCAAGTTCATTGACTTCTCCTTGAAAGTGAAATATTTATTGAATATTAAAAAAATAGGAAAATTGGCAGTTATCAATTTGACAGATAGTATTCTAGTCACATAATTTATTATCAACATGAATCACTTCTTAAAAGTAGCTTACCAATAAGTGTACCATTTTCATGGTAAACAATGACACCAGGAGGCACATTGATGATTAAATCTTCTCCTGCCTGGCCCAGTATGCCCCTTTTGGAGCTGTCGTAGCCTGTACTGGCGGCCAATAATTTGCCATTCACATACTTGGATAAAATATTCAACGTGTAACCTTCCTTGGCTCTGACGTAGACATCACCACCTCGTCCACCCCTCCCACCATATTTCGATAAGCCAGATCCTCCTGTGCCTCCTCGAACTTTTATGCTAAGCTTATCCATAAACCCATACCTCAGATACTTTCTGAGTGGCTGCAAAAATATTTGATGAATTTTATAACCAGATGAGACGAAACATATCAAATGACAAGTTAATTAATAGCAGAAAAAAAGTTAAAACAGGGCTCACTTTTATTTCTTTAACACTTTTCTTGGCATAACCTAATATCTGAGTAAGAAAAACCATTTTGACGTTGTGATGTTATCACTCGTTGCTAAAATTTATTTACAGAAATAATAAACAGCCATTTTTGTTTATCTCACGCTTCCTCAAGTACTAAACATAACTAATGTAATCAAAAAGCCGCACAATCAGTAGCTTGTAAACATTCAAGTTAAGTATCAAAGAAGAATCAAAACTGAAATCCCCAATATTCCGGAGTTTGTTGACATGCGGAACCCACAGCCCAACACTAGATTTGTTCAAGCCCCTTTTGGTTCGGTTCGGTTCTCGTAACAAAATACACCTACATAGGAAACCAAACAGAACTGGTTCTGTATATATAGGTATATTTTGTTAAGAGAACCGAACCAAAAGGGGCTTGAACGAACCTATACTGTCACCGACAGGGTCCGTACCATTTAACTTTTTTTGCTTTGCAGGCCTATATATGTTATAACACAGGCCGATGTACTGGAAAATAGTTACATGGTACGAGTGTACGACCCCAGTTAGTGGAGCTATTCACATAGACATTTTTTGCTTATTTCATTGTGAATGTTGATATTGAGAAGCTATTCACGTAGACATTTTTTGCTTATTTCATTGTGAACGTTCATATTGAAAAGGGGGTTCCAGTTCCACTGTTCTGCTAAACTCAAAGTGAGTGAACAGACTGAGCAGACCTCTACCTCTTTTTCCATCAGGCAACAAAGCCTATTCGCTCCGAGCCGATGCAGAGGTTGCGCCCCCTCTAGCCAAAATCAGGCAAAATTTCTTTCATGTAAACAAACGGCTTAGAACATATATACATACGTACAGCTGCTTGTGATTGGCACTTGGCAAGCTAGAGAGAGAACGACGATCCTCTCCTGATGCTGTCTTATTCAGCCAATCACAAGCAGCTATACGTATGTATATATGTTCTAAACCGTTTGTTTGCATGCAAGAAATGTTGCCTGATTTTGGCTAGAGGGGGCGCAATCTCTGTATCGGCTCGGAGCGAATGGTCGCAACTATGTTGACTGACAGAGAACACAGCATAGGTCTGTTCAGTCTGTTCACTCAATTTGAGTTTAGCAGAACAGTGGAACCCTCTTTTCAATATGAACGTTCACAATGAAATAAGCAAAAAATGTATATGTGAATAGCTCCAGTGGTTTGACGACTAATAGAGCCATTTTATCAATTATAAGCCAGCCGCAACTAATTTTACAGATGTAAAATAAAAAGTTAACGTTGTTTGTTCTACTGATTTGCGGCACGTTTGCAATTTATCTTTTACCAAAAAATTAATACTATATATAGTAAAAGTATACTTATATATATATAGAAGACTACTATAGTAGAGCCATATTAGAAGATAAAAAGTTGACATATATTGTGCTGTTGCTTTGTAGAGCGCGCGTGTATTACAGTCGACACGGTAGGGATCGTATTTACCCATTGTAAAACGTCGGTAATGCTGGTGACGATTGCGGAAAACACCCACTGGCTGTCGTCGATACGGCAGAACCTGTGTTACCGACATAATGTGTACACTGCATTTGGGGCTTGGGGCCGACTAGATAGCGCTGATCTACATTTCTTTTTTCTTCCTTCTTCGTTATGCACATATAGGTACTTATAGCGGCGAAAAGACGAACAGCAGAAACTCATAAGTTGCAATTTCTATAGTCTTCCAATCAATGTATAATTCTTATATTATGTAGAAATAACTTAAAACATCCGTATATTTTTTGTAATCAACAATGGCTGCTACAATCCAGTTGATGTATTCGGAACTTCAAAATAAATTTGGACTTACTGATTTCAAAAGTGAGTCTCAGAAAGAAGTGACAAAACATGTTTATGAAGGTATAAGTTCTCTCGAGACTTTATTTAAAACTTTTATCTGCTCTACTTGTTTGTTTATTATAACCTCACGCTTTGATTTGTGTTATTAATTTTTATTACAATTCAATTTATTTTCAACAAAGATGCCTTAATAGAGCAAAGAGATGTTTTTATTAATATGCCAAGTGGATTTGGAAAATCTCTATGCTTTCAATTACCAGTCTTGTCAAAGGATTACGCATTTGCTATTGTAATTACTCCTACGATAGCATTAGCCACTGTTAGTATCTACGCTTGTTTAATACTACATTTAATGGAGTTTAACTACCATTTTATCCTAACCATTTCTTTATCATTGTTATCATATTTTTAGCATCAAGTTGATTACCTAAGGAGTAAAAATATTATGGCATATTGTTGGAATGCCTACACTCCAAACAGTATTAAATATATCATTAAAAAAGATTTGATTAAAAAAAAACCTAAAATTAAATTTTTATATATATCTCCAGAGCAGTGTCAATCATTACATTTTCAAGTATTCTTAAAATATTAAACTCATGAATTTTTTACTCCCAAATTTTTTTATTTTTTCAACTCTTTCTGTTTTTAGGTAATAATGGCTAAAGTTAATCTGAGAGTATCATATTATTTTGTTATTGATGAGGCTCATTGTGTAAGCCCATCAAGTCATAATTTTAGAAAGTGTTACCAAAGTTTGGACAGGATACGTACCAAGTACCCGCACGTCCCTATTCTTGCTATGTCGTCTACAATCACTAAAAAAGTAACTTTATTCTATAATCAATTAAATATTGTTAACTGTGTTTAATGATTTTCGAACCAAATAAGCTTGAAAATTTTTTTGCTTTATATGATGTGAATGATAATCCAAACCTTTATAATTATTATTGAATATTGTACACAGATCAAAGAGGACGTTTACCGAGTATTGGGACTGAGAGATCCACTGACGTTCTCAATGCCAGTGGTTAGAGAAAATTTAACTTATGACGTTCAGTTCATAGATCTTCTTTCAAATCCATTATTAGATTTGAAAAAATATATTTTGCGGTTTCTTCAGTTGGATAGATATTCTTTATCAGAGGTTTTTGTATTTAAAGATTTTAATAAACTAATAATTAACTGTTTTATCTTCATAAATAACTTTTTGTCATGTTGCAGGAAAATTTAGTTCAAGGTATTATTTTTTGTAAAAAGGAACATGCAAAAGAGCTTCATGAAGAATTGTTATCAATGGGTATTACAACGGTACATTATAACCGTGAGTATTCAAATAATATAGTTTTTATCACATTAATATGTAATATTTCTTCTGTTTATCAAGAAACAAAATGCAAAGAAAGACTCAAAGTTCAACGATTGTGGGACTCAGGCAAATGTCGCATAATTATTGCTACAAGTGATTTTGGAATAGGAATTAGCAAGCCATCAGTGAGGTTTGATATTCTTTGGAACTTACTTGATATAATTTAATACCATCACTGGAATAAAAACGAATAAAATTATCCTTTGGTGTTTTTTTTGTTCATGGATAGGTTTGTTATACATTGGGGTGTTCCTCAAAGCATTCCGCATTACTATCAAGAAACTGGAAGAGCAGGACATGATAGGTGCATGTCCTACTGTAAAATTTATTGCAGTCTTGCGGAAATGCATAGCAGTTCTGAAACATTTTTACATGGTGGGAACAAAAATCAGCTGAGTCAGGCAGCACTACTAGCTGAAATAAAACAAAGTCTTACTCACACAAGGTACATACATTTTTTCAATCTGTTCAAAATCCTACAGCAAAAAATTTTTGACTTTTTCATTCTTGAAATAGGTGCAGACACGTTGTTTTATCAAAACATTTTGGACAAATCGTACCCAATTGTATGACAAAATGCGACTTTTGTAAGTCATCTATTCAAATGAGTCCATCTGTTTCAAATTTTAATTGGTAATTCATAGATAATTTAATTATTGGTCAAAAAATGTTTAATAACTTTTAAAATCAACACTTCTACTTTTAGTAATTTGACATCAAAAGATAAAGAAAAATTATCAAGTAACCTAAGAGATAACAAAAAAAGGGTAAATAAAAATGCGTAGTTTGTTACCAAAACATTATTATCCATATTAATAAAAGATAAAATTTTCAGGCTAAAAATGCTGTAACAAGTGAATGTTCTTCAGAGACAATGCTTAATGTGTCACATCCATTAATGAGTTTTACAGATGAATCACACTATCATCCTGACAAAAGGCGAAAAGTTATTGCCTCGGAAGAGAGCGATCTTATACAAGTATTATTGTATCGGTAGTAACAAGCAGAAAATACATAAAATTTTGACGCTACTGACTTACAGTTAAGGTAAAAATGTAAATTTACACATGTTCTATTTTTTCTAAATAAAATAATGCATTGAAAACAGTTCTACAATTACTGTGGTGTCGAAAAATTAGTTATACTCTTTACACCTTCGTGTAACACACATCTTCTTATCCCACCTTTTTAATACAAATGCAAGTAAAGACAGTTTCGTGCAATCCTCGTTTCATTATATTACTTATTCTACTACAAACACTAGTTACTGTTGCAAGATTCAACAAATATTTGTATTACAAACCAGTCGGGCACACATTATAGAATTTTTTTTCACGCAGCTTTAAAAAAAAAGCTCATCAGAGAAATTCAGCAGTGACAGCAGATAACCGCAAATAAAAAAAAAAAAAAGATGAGACCATCTCTTGTTTGGATCAACGGACGATCCATGTTAACCGATCAACTTTGGTGGGTTTTAAAATGACTGCAGACTCCGATCAACACGAGCCACCCAAATTCGCTCACAAGCCGATAAAATCGAATTGATTCGCAACGTAAATGATACATTTATTATCAATGATAAGTTTAATGAAGGGAAAAAAGCTCTATATGCATATTTTATAGATATGTGTGGTACAGTGACATCATCAACGAGCTTTCAAGAGTTTCGCGAGATAAAGGCGACGCATTGTTTATGTTTACAAGTGTGCGAGACAGGTGCCAGAGATTATAACATTATACTGGCGTCGTCCGGCACCTTTTTCTTCTCTCTCTCTCATAGATTATTTTATTCCTAACGTGGAATTTTGTGCGCACGCCTGTCACCGATCGATAAACATCGCGTGACGATTTTATCGGGCAACGGTTTTATTTGTTTATTTATTTTTTGTTCACAAAAGTAAGATTTAGATGTTTAGCTCTCAAAGTTGCACGTGCAGCTTGGATTTTTTGGTGATCGGTTCTCCATTCTTAAGCTATCTTGCTATCTTTTCTTTTATCTCGTTTTCTATGATGAAAATTTAATCAGCAGTCGGCGATGATACAGATGATTCTCGAAGCTCTTGCTGGAAAACTTTTGTGGTGTGCTTGACTTGCAAGGATTCATTTTTTTTTTTTTTTTTTTTCGAAACATCGTTTTGAGTATGGCTTCTTTTCCAAGTACCTGTACGTTTCAAATCATTTCTCACATTTTATTGACTCGAGACTTGTATCTTAATTTTTAGTATCACGATCTTTCTAGATAAGAGGCTTGTTGTGTGTAGATAGGACACTCTGTTTAATTGATAATCTTTGTTGGTATAGACGCGATTTATCGAGGGAAATAATCTTGATGAGAATATACGTATCGTAATCGGCAAGTATTAGGAAAATTTTGTTTCATAGATAGTAAACGTAAACAAGTAATTAATACGAAACAGCTACTTTGAACTACAACCAATGAGTAAATCTCAAAATAATTATTATGCGATTTAGGTAAATGAGTGATAAAAATAAAAGTAGACTAGAAAATAAAATAAATAAATGAATTTTTAATAGTCTCATATACATCATATAAAACGCAGCCTTGTGTGTGTAAATTCGGTAAACAATGTGTTACAAAATTTTTATCTCGTTTGTTGATCGTTTCGCCAATGTTGTGGATGATTATACTGTACATCACGGATAAGCTTTTATCCATATGCCATCTTGATCTTTCATCGATCTTCTGTACTTAACAATATATACAAGTGTATACATTTTTGTTTTTTTCCATCCGCCAAAACTTGAATGAGTTACATATAGGTACTGATGGTGCGGCACCGTTCAATCCTACTTTATTCAGTGTCACTCGACATCCTGTAAAAGAGAGAAAAAATGAACGCGAGTCAGCAAAACGCTGAAAGTATATACTTATATGTATATGTATATATATA